CCAAAAAAAAAAAAGAAAATTTAAAATAATAATAATAAAATTAAATAATTCTTTAAAAATTAAAAAAAAATAAACTGCTCTTATGTATAAACTTAGATAGGTTACTCAAATATTAACCATGCTCCTGGGGGTTAAAAGTAATTGAACATAGTACCATCCCTTTCTGTTTATAACTTGGAAGGTGAATACAGTGGTTCTGTACCTAGTTAGTACTAGCATTCACTCCTCTCTGTATGGTCTAGTCCTTTTTATTACTGATCGATGCACTTCTTTCCAAGAATAAAGCTTGCATGACTTTGGGAACCGTGAGAGGTTTATCATATTTCTCACATCACCCAGCTCATAAAAATAAAATGGTAATAGTGTGCTATCTACATTACCTCATTTAGTCTTCACCATGACTTTACAAGTTATGTCATCCTACTTGTCCCCATTTCACAGATAAGGAAAATGAAACTTGGAGAGACTAAGTAATTTGCCCAACAGGAATAAGTGGCAAAGCCAGGATTTGAGCTGAATCAATTTAGTTCCAGAGTCCACTCTGAACAAAGGGAAGTCCATAAATGTGCTGAGCCTGGCTCTGTTTCTTCTCTGCATCTGCTCTCCTCTCCAAGCCAAGGGATTTGATTTCTGCAGCCTTTGTTTCTCAGATACCTTTGTCAATCGACTTCCTTCAGTTTGGCCAGTGAGAGGTAATCAATGGGATATTTGGAGGGCTTCCAAACTTCATAGACTCTATGAATTCTTCCATATAATGTTTTTCCATTGATATTTATAAAGAAAATATTTATTTTTATGTCCCAAAACAAGGTCCTCTGACTTTGTGTGTGTGTGTGTTTGTGTGTGTCGAAGATTTTTGCTATAAGGCAGGTTGCTCACCAGAGAGACAGAGAGAGAGAAAAAGCGAGAAATCACCCCTCCAGCAGGGCATGACCAGTTCACAAGCCTTTCTCCTCCATTTTCCTCCTGGGATTTTGGGTATGCAAACACATGTGCCTGGCGTGAGTTTCAGGCCTCTTGGTCCAAGACTTGTGGGAGTCCAGTTCCTTAACCACTATGGTTATGTGGGAGTTCAGTGCCTTAACTACCACCCCACTTTCTGACCCAAGGCTCCCCGATTTGAGGAAAAAGCCTTATGTTACATTCCAGATTCAAATAGTAGAACATCACATGTAGACATGTTAAGGTATGCCAGCACCAACCAAGGAGAGAGCCTGACCACACGTAGTTTGTTTTATGTTTTGTTTTGGTTTTTTCTTTTTTCTTTTTTTTGGAGAAGTTTTTGCTATAGGGTGCATGCACTCGTCAGAAAGACAGAGAGAGACAGAGAGACAGAAAGCGAGAAATCACCCCCCCCCTCCCAGGGAGGATGGCCATGCCGCAATCCCTTCTCCTCCATTCTCCTCTCAGGATCTTGGGCATGCACACACACGCGCCTGGCGTGAGTTTAAGCCACTGGGTCCGGGACTCGAATCACTGTCAACTACATGGGAGTCCAGCGACATAGCTATTATGCTAACTGCTGGTCCCCACACATAAGTAGTTTGTTTGGAACTGACCTTCACTAACCCATGGGAGCAGACACTGTTTCTTTTGACAGTGTCAGCTTTCAGAGCAATGCCTGGAATACATTATGGCTTATTAAATATTTTGTTAAATGAATGCCATCAAATGGTTTAGTTACTTCATCTATGCATCTCAGAAGATTTTCACCACACCACCTCTGAGTGAAATGCAAATTAATTGATTATCAATTTAATACTTTTTTCAACGAATGCCTAAAACTTCATAAACTATTCAATGATTGAAGAAGGAAAACTATACAGATCTGTGCAACAATTTGTCTTTGGTCAGAGGATGTGTTGCTTTAGAAAATAAGCTTGGTATTTGAGCTGTGAGCAATCCCTTTGAGGGGCTAAGACAACAGAAGAGCTTCTGGTCAGCCTTCACCCTCCAGACCCCAAGATCCACCAGACTGATAGGAGAGATAAAGTGCAGGCCCTTTGAGACGTCATCTGCATTTGAGTTGTGAGCAATCCCATTCAGAGCCTAAGACAAATGACAAGTTTCTGCTCAGACCTCACCCTCCAGACCCCAAGATTCCCTAGAGTGGGAGAAAAATGGAACTGCAGAGAGCTTGTAGATCACTTCCTCCTGTACACCTCTAAACTCTCAGATTTAACTTTAAGAAATTAGGAAGAAACGTATAATTCATCAGATGACCAGAAACCACCACAGAAGCACAAGAAATATGAGAAACCAAGAAAATATCTCTCCCCAAAGGAAAAAGAACAGCTCTTCATGCACAGATAGAACAATGGAACCCATGAAAATGTCAGATAAAGAATTAAAAATATTCATAGCACCAGGACCAGCAGTTAGCGTAATGGCTATGTCGCTGGACTCCCATGTAGTCGACTGTGGTTCGAGTCCCGGACCCGGCGGCTTAAACTCACGCCGGGCGCGGGTGCGTGCGTGCCCAAGATCCTGGGAGGAGAATGGAGGAAAAGGGATTGTGGCGTGGCCATACCCCCTGGAGGGTGATTTCTTGCTTTCTGTCTCTCTGTCTCTGTCTGTCTGGCGAGTGCACGTGCCCTATAGCAAAAACCTCTCAAAAAAAATATTCATAGCACCAAAGCTAACAGAGATGCAAGAGAAGAGAGACAATGAACTCCAAAAGATGTGGGAGAAGAGTTAATGAGTTCCAGGAGTTGTGGAAGTTCTTTCATGAGTTGAAAGAGTAAATACACACCATAAAAATGAATCAAACAGAACTGTTAAAGGTGAAGGATATAATATAGGAAATCAAAACCTCCTCTGAAAGTTTTAAAAGTAGATTAGATCATGCAGAAGATTGAATCTCAGATGTAGAAGACAGAACTTCTATCCCAGAAAAATTCACCAAATAGACTGAGAAAGTAGCCAACAAAATGAAAATAACATATGAGAAATATTAGATACTATTAAACATCCAAACATCCAGATAATCGATATCCCAGAAGGTGAGGAAACTAATAAGGGCATTGATAATCTGTTCTATGAAATCCTGGAAGAAAACTTTCCAAATCTAGAGAAGCACTCAAATATCCAGACCCAAGAAATACAAAGGAGCCCACTTAGAATCAACCCAAGAAGATTTTCTCCAACGCACGTCATAGTCAGACTGACCAAAACCATGGACAGAGATAAGATTCTAAAATCAGCATGAGAGAACCATCAAGTCACTTACAATGGATATCCCATCAGGCTAACAGTTGACTTCTCATCAGAAACAATGTGAGCAAGGAAAGAATGGGAAAATATATTCAGAGTTAAGTGGAAAACAATTTTAACCAAGAATTCTATACCCGGCAAGATTATCCTTCATGTGGAAGAAAAGAGTAAAACATTCTCAGATAAACAAACCCTGAAAGAATTTACCAATAGCAGTCCAGCTCTCCAAGAAGTGCTGAAGGGAGTGCTATACCAGAAAAATTAAAGACATACACACAGAAATAAGAGTCCAAAAACTACCAAGAAAATGGCCAACTTAATGGTAGGAACAAGTCCAGAATTGAACGTTAACTTCCAGGATTTAAAAAGATAGATCAGATCACAATAGAAGAGAGATTAATTACATGAGATTGAACTGGTGAAATAGAATTTTTGACTTTTGACTAAAACATGACTGATTTTCTTCTATGCTTTGATATCCAGATTTAAAGATTTTTTTGTCTTCTTGTGAGCTGTTAATAGGTTCATCTACCTATTATTTGAATAGAATCCTAGTCTGTTTTCTGGCATTAAGTCTTAAGCAAATTTCTCTTAACATTTTGTGATTTTGATTTATTAAAGCTAAAAATGCTTTTCTTGAAATTTAAAGACACACACACATGAAAGAAATACTTATTTAATGACTACAGTAAGCTATATAGCCTCAGCGAGGTGCTACTTTATAATACATACATTCTACCCACTGAGTTGTATGCCTAAATTCAGGTATGTGTTCACAGATATGTGTCTATCAGCTGAACTTGCTATTGAAAGTATTTAATTAAGATTTTTTGTACATCAATAAAATGTTAAAAAAAAAAAAGTGGGAAGCAATTGTAGATACCAGAGACACTGTGGGAGGAGGGTGGGAAATGGCAGAGGGTGAGAAATAGGGAATCAAGGGGTGGGGGGAAGGCAAATTATCCAAGAAACAGGAAAGGAAAAATTATTTGTTGATGATAACATGTATAGTAATATTATTGATTGAGCCAATATACAGTGTATTCCGATTGGGAAATCTCATTTTGAATGCTTTGATGATGTACAGTGAATGAGCGTAAAATAAAGAAATTAAAATAAATAAGAAAATAACTTGGAAAACTCAAAGATCTCTAGAGATTCAGAGGAGGAGAGAAGGGGCTTTTTCGAAACCATTTCTAAAACTAAAAAACAGCAATAACAAATGAAAACAAAACAAGTCACTGGGGTTAGAATTTCTCCTTACCAACTTTAGCACAAATGTCAAGAGAGTTTTTGAGGAAAAAACATCTAGTTCGGGCAGAGGTAGTACGGCAGGCACTGCATACGGAAACCATCTTGAACTATCTGCCATCTTGAACTATCCACCATCTTGGAAATCATTAGGCTTCACTTCCTCACTGAGCAAACGGGTTCTCTCTAGGCAATGGGAGAGATCCACCCACATCAATGATTGGTTCATGCTGTTCTATCTCATTTGCATTTCGGGCAACCAATTGGTGCCCACCAGCTGTATATAACTCGCCATTTTCCCTCAATAAAGGGAAGAAGTAGAAGAAGACTTGATCAGCACCTCGTATTGTGTGTGCATGTGTTTGTCCCATCTCTCACTCCCTCCCCCCAGGGAACCTGTTCGAGTGTCTCACAGGTCGGGACAGGTTGTATGTGGGTTCAGATGGTCATTTCATCTCCATTTCATATGTGAAAAGTCAATAATAGTATCTACCCCAATGTATATTATAGGAATTAGAGAAAATAACATAATTTATGTCAAAAGTAACATTTATGAACTACAGTGTTCCATACTATTATCAGGTTAGAAGAAACTGTAAGATGAAAATACTTTCAAAAGAAGGAAACTCCATATTTTGTGCATGTCTTAATTTTATAAATGCTTCGATGACTTTGGACCATAGCAGGAAATATAGTCAAATATTTTCAAGTTAGAAGCCCTCTCTACAAACCTATATGCTGCTAAAAAAAAAAACCTGAAAATTCTTACCAGTCCACATTCTTTCAACTAGTGATTCACATGTCAGAAACAACCAATGTTGTAAAGGATCGCTCTAACATTTGTATCTGTTTCGTATTTTGTACTGGAAAGGGGAAATTCATACAAAAACCCCGTGATTACTGACCATACAAGGGGAACCAGAAACTTGAAGAACCCTGAGTTGTCTGCTTTGTGATATTTAAACAGCCAGAAGAAAAAGATCATCAAAAAAAAGTGTTAGAAAGCCAAATCTGAGATTCTAAAAACTTCTGGCGTAGAGTGAACGTGATCCACCCCAAACATGCAAGTAAACAAGCCGCAAAACCCTCGTTGCCTTCCTTCCACCAGCGTGGCATCATTCCTTCCCTGTGCCAGGAGGCTGCCTCAGAAAAACACTTCCTAATTGGTTTCATCTGTGCTTATCATGAGTGATATTTTAAAAACCGGATCTGTAAGTGACCTTTTCTTCTCCTCACTGCCAATTTGATACGGTTTGTTTTTCAATCTTCTCTATGAGCTTAGCCAGGCGAGGCTGTGCCTTCCTGTCTCACGGTTCAGGTAGTGACACTGGAGTTCTAGCTGTGAGGTCTATGGGAGGTACTTTTGTACTGAGCCAGTGTAGACCCTGGATACTCCCAGGAAAGGTCGGCATTGTCACTTCGGAGTTCTCTTGTCTCACCGTTGCCTGGCAACCGCACGGCGTCTCTTTGATGGAGGGCGTTCCTACTAGAAAACAGCTTTATGAAAAGTGTCAGGGTCATCTTTAGAAACCCAAAGAAAACAAAACAAAACCCCCCAAAAAGGCCTACCACCAAGAAGGCAAGGGGGGGAAAAAAAAAAAAACCCGCACAACTCAATTATTCAGCCGCACAACTGCGCCTGTCAGGTCCTCGCAACAACACTCGCTTGAATTTAATTAAGTTTGTCCCTGTAGCCTGTGAACTGCTCAGCCGGACCTGCTGGAAGGGAGATGAAAAGCCTGAAGGCAGGCCCTGTGAGGCCATTGTTGATCAGGAAGGGCGCAGCATTCCCAAGTTAGGTAAATTCCCATCCCCTTGCACAGAAGATGCCCTGGGGGATAACCTTTTGAAGGCAGCATTAGAAAGTTGGGTGGCCTGAGAGCCAAGAGAGAGGGGCACTTTTCCCACCACCAACATGCCCGCCCCTTCTGGAGGCAGCAGGCAGAAGTGGAAAACGCCTGGCTTTTGTGACTGTGAAGGCAAACAGTTCAACTCAAATGCTAGCTCTGCCACTTACTAGCTTTGTTACCTTGGGGAAGTTAACTAACCTCACCAAGTCTTCTTTCTCATTGGGAAGCTGGAAAGTTAAAAACAACTGAAAGATTTGATCAAGATTAAAGGATGTGCCCAAATCCAGAGAGGAGAATGGAAAAGGGATTGCAGCTCGCTAGAGCACTTTCTCTATCTCTCTCTCTCTCTCTCATGAGAACACCCTATAGCAAAAAACTATAAAAAAAAAAAATTAAGGGATGTAATATTAGTAAAATCCCTGACACTATTGGCTCTCAATGTCTCTCTCCTCATTTCCCTGCTTAAAACTCTCTAAAGTGTATTTCATTTATGATAAAATAATTTCCAAACTGGGTAACATGAGAGAGAACCTTCAAAACTTAACCTGGGAGTACATGCCTGTTGCATGCTACCTGCCTTTCGGAAGTACCTGTCTTCAACCATGCACCTTTTGCTTTGCCTCTGGACTGAGTTACTGCTTCCAGTAGTAGTTCTTCAAAACCCCATTCAAGTATTACCAACTCTTTTTTGTTGTTATTGTTGAGGTTTTTGCTATAGGGCGTGTGCACTCGCCAGACAGAGAGATACAGAGAGACAGAAAGCGAGAAATCACCCGCCAGGGGAGATGGCCATGCGTAATCCCTTCTCCTCCATTCTCCTCTCAGGATCTTGGGCACACACACGCGCGCCCGGCATGAGTTTTAAGCCACCAGTCCGGGAGGCCAACCGCGGTCGACTACGTGGGAGTCCAGCGACACAGCCATTAAGGTAACTGCTGGTCCCCAAGTATTCCTAACTCTTAACTGTCCCAGGCACAGATCACCATTCTGGTCTTTGGGTTCCCATAGCACCTTGTACTTTTCTCAATTAAAGAATTCTACCCAGTAAATTGACCTGCTTTAAGACTTTCTCCCCCGACAAACTGTAATCTTCTTATAGGTATGTTTGGGTACTGTTTTTAAAAATTATTCCTATATTTAACACAATATTCAGCAAATATTTGATAGATGATTTCCAGAACATCTTTACTAGAGTCCCTTTAAAATTTATATTCAAGGGGCTGGCAGGTGGCATGGTGGATGAGGGCGCTGGACTCCCACATGGCTGACCGTGGTTCGAGTACTGGACTTGGTGGCTTGCTTTCTCACTTTCCTTCTCTCTTTCTCTCTTTCATCGAATTAAAATAAATAAAGTCAAATAAAATAATTCTTTAAAGAAATTTATATTCAAAAGGTTCTAGGAAAGGATGCCTGTTATTTTTTGGCACCTTCCTAAATTAGTATAGAGTACCTATACAGAAATCCACAAACCTGAAGTTTGAAACGTGATAAAGAGTACTTAAATAAGAATGAAAAAGGTAGAAAGTAAAGAAATATTAATTTTTGAATCTATAAACAGTCCAACTAGAGTATGCTAGAAATCCTTTCCTAATAAAATAACTATCCATGCAGAGAAAAGATATGGTAATTATTGGAAATTTTAGTTATGCAAATATTTGTTAGGTTTCATTTTACTAAAATCAAATTGTGACTTTAGTTTTATATTGATTAATTAAAATGACTTTGATTTGATTAAACATTTAAAATTATTTTTATTTCAATTTAGCAAGTTCCTTTTTTACTGAAGTTTATTCTACTGTTGGGAAAAAAAGACACAATTATAGCCAAAGACTGATAAAAACGTTTAATTCAAAAGTACCTTATACATTAAATAGTCCGACCGCCTATTTTTTTTAATGTGATAAAATTAAGAACAGGATATGTTAAGAAACTTCTCTAAGTTCTGTTACTACTCAAAGCCAAACTAGAATTTTTCTCGTCTGCTTATTTAGATCTCTCTCCAGCATGCCAATGATAAGAAAAACCAGCTGGTGATAGGAAAATGCTGGGAACCTTAGAAAAACACGGACATTTTACAGCTAGGGACAATGTCCATGAAGTCAGCCTGCTTAGATCTTATCCTTAGTTTCTGGGAAGTTTAGGATAAACAAAAGCCCATTTTGTGTACAACTGTCTTGTAAAAGAAACCTTTACTATAATTATCATTCTTCATATTTTTATTATTTTACTATCTGGCAAATGATTAAAATTAAAGTATCACTTCTCAGAACCAGCAGATGGCGTAATGGCTACTTTGCTGGACTCCCATGTGGTTAGAGTCCCGGACCCAGTGACTTAAACTCACACTGGGAACATGTGCATGCGTGCCCAAGATCCCGAGAGGAGAATGGAGGAGAAGGGGTGGTGGCATGGCCATCCCCCTGGGGTGGGGTGGGGCGGGGAGTGTGATTTCTCGCTTTTTGTCTCTCTGTCTCTGTCTTTCTGGCAAGCGCAAGCTCCCTATGGCAAAAACCTCTCCCTCACCAAACGGTGCTCCAGTTTTGCCAAATGTGATTGGTGGAACAGGCCCCACCTACCAAAGTAAGAGGAAGAAACTTATGTTGCATTTTGCCATCATCACAACATTCACATGAGTGACTGGCAGGCACTTCTTACTGAACAGTATTAATTGCCAGTGTACACACGTTGCATGAATGTATAACAGTTATTATAATTTTTAAAAATGTTCTTATATCACTTACTGAAATACTATTTTATGATGCTGAACCTAAGAAAAAGACAGGACCTTTTGCATGTGATTCCCTTCATTTCATTTTATAGCAATTAATTTTTATAGTATTTTACAAAATAAATCTGGGGCTGGGTCAGCAGGTGGCATAGAGGTTAAACAGCTGGATCTCATATGGCTGACTACCTAGTTCAAATCCCAGGCATGCTGACTTGAAAAACATGCAGGGTAGGGACAGGCAATTGGCATAATGGCTATGTCGCAAGACTCCCATGTAGTTGACCGTGGTTCGAGTCCCGGACCTGGTGGCTTAAACTCACACTGGACGTGTGTGTGTGCATGTCCAAGACCCCGAGAGGAGAATGGAGGAGAAGGGATTGCAGCATGGCCATCCCAGCTGGGGGGTGATTTCTCGCTTTCTGTCTCTGTTTCTCTTGATCTTTCTGGCAATCACATGTGCCCTATAGCAAAAAACCTATCCAAAAAAGAAGAAGAAGAAGGAGGAGGAGGAGGAGGAGGAGGAGGAGGAGAAGGAAAACACACAGGGTATGTCAAAAATCCCAAGAGGAGAATGGAAGAGAAGAGATTATGGTGTGGCCATCCTCCCAGGAGGTGATTTCCCATTTTCCCTCTCTCTCTGTCTTTCTCTGGCAAGTGCATGCATGTTACAGCAAAAGAAAAAAAGAGAAAGAAATCTCATTCATGTTCCAACCTATTCGTTTGTTGTCCCCATGTGCCCCAGCACCTTCCAGCAATCCAAGGAATCTGTCCTTTTGCACTTGTAACTTCCGTCTTGAATGCCCTGCCCACAGGTCATTCATGGCCAGTCCGTTCATGGCCAAGTTCTGTTACTACTCAAAGCCAAACCAGAATTTACTTCTGTTTGCTTATTTAGATCTCTCTCCTGCATGCCACTGATAAGAAAAAACAGCTGGTGATAGGAAAATGCTGGGAACCTTAGAAAACTATGGGCATTTTACCACTAGGGACATTCTAGTGCTCCAATTTTATCCTCAATGTTATCATCTCAGGGCAATCTTTCCTCATCCTGTACTCTAAGCCTCAGCTCTCCTTTGAATGGTCCTTCATATTTACTGATAGATTTTTTTGTATAAATTGTACAATTATCTAAATTTCCCTTCTTTTTTTACTTGTTTATCATCTGGGAGGTCACTGTTACATCCCTGGTGTCTGCATTTTTGTCACGCCATGGGATGTTGCAGAAGGAAGTCCAGATATTGTTTCAAGTACTTTATAAAAATACAGTTGTTCTTATCCTTTCCATAGGCCTTTAATGTAGGTAGTATTATCCCTGTTAAGAGCTGAGGAATCAAAGATTTAGAAAAATTGGGACCAGCAAATGGCATAATGATTACACTGCTGGAGTCCCATGTAGTTGACAGCTGTTAGAATCCCACACCCAGTGTCTTAAAACTCACACTGGGTGCTTGTGCGTGCATGCGCAAGATCTCAAGAGGAGAATTGGAGGAGAGCGGGATTGTGGTATTCACCCCCCCCCCAGGGAGGGGTGATTTCTCACTTTCTTTCTCTCTGTTTCTCTCTGTCTCTCTGGCAAACTTATGCACCCTATGGCAAAAATCTCTCTTAAGAAAAAAAAGATTTAGAGGCATGAAAATTATTAAAAGCTACATTGACTTTTCTGATTCTTAAACTCTCTGCCGTGGTAGGTAAGGAAATCTTTCGAACTTTGTCATCAATAGTAAATTAACATTAGTGCCAATAGAGGTATTATTCAGATATTTGGGAAATTTTTCTGTTTTGTATGCATACAGAAGAGAGTTATATG